GGAGGGGAGCAGCCCCCCCACCTCCAAGGGCATGGCGCCATCTCCCCCCCCTCCGACCCACACATCCCCCTTTGGGCAGCAGGCGCTGGGCAGGGCAGGCCCTGGGCAACCACAGAGGAGGGAACCACGAGCCTGCTCCCCCACCCTGTATTGCTGTCCCCCCCCTTTTCCATCCCCCGGCCGATGGAGCAGGGCATTGCTCGTAGCTGGGTGACGACCGCTCCAGACCCCGGGAGCCTTCGCTGCCCGCGACAGACCTGGATGCTCTGGTGAAAGCAGGATCTGACACCCGCGAGATCCGATTACTGACCCCCCGCCGCCTCCTGACCCCCGGGGCTGGGGCAGCCCCAGCCCCCCAAGGGGAGGGCGCTTGGCTGGCCGTACCGGGCGAGAAGAAAAGAGCAACTCTTCCCTATATCATCTGATTTCACTTTTCTCTCAGCAGGGTCAGGAACTCAGGAAACCACCTTCAAAGGGCTTTCACACTGGCTTGGCTCAAAAACCCGAGGACCTCGCCTCCTCTAAGCCCTCTCGGATGTACCACGAGGAACAGATGGGCAGTGAGGAGGAGGAGGAGGAGGAGAGTGCTGAAACAGCACTTCCCTGCAAAACTCCTGTCAGGAGCGGGGAAAACAACCCCGGGCTGCAGGACACAGCGACGCGCAGGACGTATCCCTGGGATCCACGCAACAAACCCAGCTCGGAGCAGCTGCCCGGCAACCTCCAGCCCCCTGCCCTGGCAGGCAAGAGCCCCCCCATCATCCCTCTCCTGGGGTGTCCCTGGCAAAACTCACCCGGCTTGCCGGGCTCCTCCACCGCGGGGACTTTGCTGCGTGGGCTCTGCGTGACGATTTTCACGGTGTTGTCAGACTCCTTGCTCGGCCGACTCGTCGTCAGCTGCTCTGGGATCACCGCGTTCGGGTCTGGGGAGGAGAGGGATGAGAAATCTCCATTCAGCCTGGACGGCAGCAGGTCACTCCCCTGCCTAAACAACAATTGGCCCCCAAAATCCCAGCCAGTCACCCTCCATGGGGCTCAAAGGAGTCGCAGGAGCAACGGGAGATGCTGAGAGCAACAGAGCTGCTTCAGGGCATGTAGGAAGCAGCTTCCCCACCCTAATCCCCCCCGTTTTTATGTTTTCTGAGCTCCCGTGCGTGGGTTGGGGCAAGTTTCTCGCCTGGGCAGCGGGAGGAAGGGGAGGGGAAGGGAGCCTGCCAAGGCTGCAGAGTTGCTGCTTCTGTTTGTTGTAAATATTGGCCCCAAAATGAAAACACAATAATGAAAAGCAGCCACCGGGAGCTGCGCATCCGGGTCGGGGGCTGGAATGAGCCCGGGGCCTGGCTGGGGCTGGGAGACACCCGGCAGCTTGCGTGGGAAGTGTTGGGGAGCTCCCCCCCGGGAGAAAAGCACGCTCTGCCCCAGCCCCGCCGTCACCGATGGCTTCAGTGTCCCACTGCCACGTGCCCACAGCGTGGTGGCCACCGCTGGGACCACTCTGAGTACAAACACGGATGCCTGCTCGGCTCGATCCCCCTCTCAGGTGCCCAGCAAGTCCTGGGGGAGATCATTTGTGCCAGCTGCACCCCCCCACTCTGGGGTGATGCACTTGTGCAGTTCGGGGGTCCCGCACTGAGCGAGCTTCCTGCCGGGACACCGGCCACGAGCTAACGCGGAACAATCACTCCATTTTAATCCCAACACACCAAACGTGTGCGAGTGTTGGCAAAAGAAAAAAAAAAAAAAAAGAGAGGGGAAAAAAAAAAATCCTAAAAACTGAAATTCTGCTGAACTAACCCAGGAGGCCTCCCAGGCTCCAGGGACCAGATCCAGCCCCCCCTCCCACCTCCACCATGGCAGGGCTGGGGCCCGGGTTCAGGGCCCAAGGTTGCGGCGCAGGAGGACTCACCCTGCCCCACTTTCATGACAATCTTCATGGAGCGTGTCTGGCAGACCCCTCCCTCCCGGTTCTCCAGGCCATCCAGCGTCCCGTTGGAAGTGGCTGCAAGACAAGAGAGGGAACATCAGGCAGGTTTCCCACCGGCTGGAAGGGCGCTGGCAGGCGGGTCCCCGCTGTCCTCCGGCACCACGAGGGACCTGGCAGGAGCTTGGCACCTCCCGACCCCCCCGCTGCGAGTGTTTAATACACCGAGTTCTCACTCTCTGCACCTTCCAGAGATGTCTGCGGTGAGAAGGATGGGAGCCCTCCCGCCGCCCCTCGCTGCCACATCCACACAAGCGAGCCATTCTCCGCGCCTGCACCCTCCTCCTAATTCCTGGATAATTTCCTTTGCTCCTTGGTGTATCGCAGGAACACATGCATATGCACAGCTTAAATTATACATATATAATTACACACTGTGCCTCGGTGAAGAATGTAAACTCAGAGCCCCAATGGGGTTGAGTGGCTTTAATTGCAGGGCAGAAGCCAGTTAAATTCACATTAACTTTTTGCTTTAGCCGGCACAGAATTTTAAGCCTTTCAATCCTGCCGCACGTCTCCCACTGCCACCACGCAGAAACCCCCCCACCCTCCAACACGAGAGAAAAAAAAATAACCCAAACCAAAGGATTACAGGACTAAGCACCTAAATGGCAGATTCTGCTCAACAGATGCAAAAAAACGGCTTCTGACCCCAAACGTTGCCAGCAACAGCAAGCACCCAGCTGAGCCAAGATGGGAGATGGGCTGGGTGGCCCTGGGTTACCAGGGCAGCACCTCCATCCACCACGGCAAACATAAATCACCCTGGTGCTCCACCAAATCCAGGCATTTGTTCGCCCAGGGAAGTAACAAAACCTGGGAGGAGCTCGGCGATGGCACAGGGCCCGAGCAGGGCTTAGGAAAGGCGATGCACCGGAGAACCACGAAGCTGCGGGGATGATTTTACAGAGACAAGGCAGGGAAGCAAAGCAGGACTTGGCCAGCACAGCGCGGCCAACACCTACCCCGAGCCTCAACGCCAAAGCTCGGCCCCGAGGTTTCGGGTTGCCTGCGCAGCCCAAATCCTGCCTCCACCCCGCAAAAACTCGGGTTTGGGGAGGGCGGCTGGGGGCAAAGCCGTCAGACCCCGCTGGGAGTCAGCACGGAGGTGAAGGGAAGAGGCTGGGTTACGGAACTTGCTTTCTTTTGTGCAGGAGAAAAAGACTTTTTTCTTTTGCTTCTGCACTCGCCCTCCCGTAGCGGGACCCTTGGGTGCCTCGATGAGGACTCATGCCTGGATCATGCCGCGATGGAGGCTCGAGGTCCATCGGCTCCCTCCAAACGCCTCTGTGCAATCAAGGCTCTCGTGTGAAACACCAGCGCATGTTTTACTAATCAGGATGTCACCGGGCCGTTTGCTGAGTTATCACCTCTCCCGCGGCAGGGTTTTGCCGGCCAGCAGCTCCCTGGATGGAGCCGTACATCCACGCCTCCGGGATTTGCTGGCGGGCGTTTTGACAGGAGCACTGTCAGCACAAATCCCGACACAAACGCCTGGGAAAGTGGAGAAAAGCCTCCCTGCAGCCTGCACGAGCTCTTCCCACCGTGAACTGGAGGCGTGAGCAACAATTCCCCATAAAAACATCTCGGGGAGCGAACTCTGGCAGAAGGCAGAGCAGCCCAGCTCTCCCAGGCCAGAGGCACTGGTGTGGGGAGGAAAAAAGCCGAAACGTCCCAGCTCGTGGCCCTGAAGCAGTTCCATGAGGAGGTTCCCAGCACCACACCGTGGGTTGCTCCATCTCAAATAGACTTCACCCATTCCCACCGCAGGAAAAAACAGAGCAGTCTGTAAAAACCAGCCTCTGCGAAACCTCGTAAGTCTTATTTATAAGGTAATGACCTAAATTAGAGCAAAACAACCTACAGAGTAAGTATGGCTTGAGTGCAGGGAACCAGGAGATCCCACAAAGGTAGAGCATGCAGCAGTAACAGGGGACAGCAGTTCTTCCAAAATAGCTATGGAGACGTTGCATTCGGATACAACAAAAATATTAAAGGTCCAAACAGGACAGAGGAACGGCAGCTGGAGTCTCAGGGATGGACGAGGGGACGCAGCTGAGCGTCCTTCCGCACCACACACAGGACTTGGTTTGAGAAGCTTCTTGTTCTGAACGTCATCATGATGAGGGGAGAAATTAGCTTGGAAAGGGAACGGCACGAAAAAAATGAAGCAGCTACTCGAGGGAACATAAAACAGGTAAAAACGCTTGCAAAAGCCATGGCGATGGTCTCCAGGACGGTCTCTTCAAACAAGCTTCCACGCTATGTATAGATCCAAAATGGGCCAAAGCAAAGCACGATGCTCCACAGAGCCGGCCGGGCTTCCAAAAGCCCAAATCCCATCCAAACGGCCAAAAGAGAGAGTACAACCTCCGGCGGGTTTTATATAAACACGTAGGACAGACCGAGGCGTTGGTGAGCAGCAGGTCCGGAGGCGGGCGGGGGGTCCCCACTGACCCGTGGGCACGGCGGCGCTGCAGGCTCCTCTGCCAGGCTTCACTGCAAAGCTCCGAGATGGAGCTGATCCTCCCGCTCCGTTTCTGGCTTTCAGGGTGGAAGGTTTCCCAGCAGAAGGCCACAGGATCGGGCCAGCAGCAGACCCAGGATCCGGGAAGCACCTGGGATGGAAGCCCAACGTGTCCGGGATCCTCGGCGACGCGCTCACAGATCCTCACCCTCCGCGGCCGGTGAAATCCAGCAGCAACAAATGCACAGCAAAACGGGAGAAAAAGGTTAAATCCACAAGGCTCAACAGCGGGCTGCAGGGCGGTAGCAGGAGGCAGAGCTGTGAAACGATGAGGGAAGACAGGCAGGGGACACCCGGGGGACGGCCGCCATCTCCACAGGCAGCGTTTGCAACGTGCAGCTCCGGCGCATCGGCGAGGCTCCATCCGGCCGGGCTCCGGCAACACAGAGCATCTGGGAGCGTTTTCTTACCCCCTTTTCCATTTTGGAGGGACTTAAAAGAGTTTGGTTGTAAGGACCAGGAGAGCAGAAGCAGCCTCTGGACAGATGACTTTCACTCGGGCTTAAAGAGAAGGCAGCCCCCAGCCCCAAGAGCTATTAGATGCCTTTGCCTTAATGAAGCATTAAGCCTCAGGCTGCTGAGCGATGAGGATTTAACGTTGATACCATTAACCATGTAATTGCTTGTCAATTTAGAAGAGATGCTCAGCCTGCATGGCAGCACAGGCAGGACCTCTGCTTGCTGGCACGACTCGCCCCGGTCCTCGGGCACGAGACCAGTGAAGCGCCAAGTCCCAGCCCAGTGACACACGCCAGCCGACTGGGACAGACGCCTCTGAGAGCCCCAACAACCCCCGTGTTTCCACCTCCAGCGGCAAGCGGAGCCCTGTGCTGTCCCCAGTGAGTCACACTCTGCCTCCCCACTGCCAGCACTCGGGAGTGTCACCGCAGCTTTTCTTCCTCCCTTCAAAATATTTCAAATGGGAACTTGGGTTTTGGCAGATGGGAAACTCTGGAAGTAATACCTGGCAGCAGATGAAGGCAAGGGTCTCTTAAATGGTCAGTTTTGGACAGAGCGAGACGTTTGCTTTCTCTTCTGGATTCCCTCTAGCAGGACTCCGTTATGATTTGGGCCCCAAAGCACAATTAATGTGCTGAGCCTGTAGCGAATCCAAGCCTCTTTGCTTTTATTATTCTTAATTACTCTTCCATCTGTGCACCGCGGCCCTGCTCCAGACCCAGCCAGGCACTGCGTGGACGCGGCCCGGACACCCGCCCCGCGATCCCCCCCCTCGCCCCCAGACCCGTCCATGATTCGCGTTTCCATCGCACAGCACCCACCGGCACCCGCCGCCAGGGCCTCGGGGTGCCCCCAGCCTGACCCCCGTCCTGCCAGAGCAGACAGGGCAGCCGGAAGGCACAGACCGATCCTGCTGAGGGGCAGCGGGTGGAGAACGGGCTCAGACCAGGCACCGCTTGACCGGGACACCCACACCAGGCTGAAAGCCCCGCCGGGCGCAGGTAAAGACCCTGAAGAGGCGCTCAGACGCTGTGCCAGAAGACTCTCTTTAAAATAAAAATCCAGTTCATGCCACTTCCCCTCTCCTCCAAGACTGTCAACGTGTTTTACGCTCCCTCGGTAGGGTGTCGCATCAGCAGAGGTGCTGCACCGGCACCCAGCTCTGTCATGGCACCAGGCTCCTTTCCCTCCCATCCCGGCCAGGGCTGGCACCCCAGGGGACCCGCAGAGCCACTTCCAGGTCATCGAGCAGCACCCGCCTGCTCTGGGGCCGCCCTGAGAGCACAGCTTGCCTTCAGCCCCTTCTCCTCCTCCTCCTCGGTGGAGCTGGGAGGTGGCAGGGGCACAGCCCCGCTGCACGCAACCGACGCTCACAGTATCACCATTATTATTAATATTATTATTATTATTTCCTTGCCAGGCCCCGGTAAAGGGAGGCGAGCCCACCGCTCCCCCCTCCCCGCACACACACACGTCACCCCAAGCCCCTTCCATCAGCTCCAGCACATCGGCTGGGTCGGCTGCCAGAGCAAGGGCAGGGGCTGCGCGGGGGGAGCTGAGCCCCGCGCTGTCACGCTGCCAGCGAGGCCGGCAGCAGCTTTCCAGCCCAGAGGCAGCTGCGCCGGGAAGGGGCCCCTAAAGCCCTAGAAATGTGTGTGCGAGCCAGCCCAGCCCCATCCCGTCCCTAAACGGCTGCAGGAGGTGCAAGGCTAGGGTTTCACACATCCTCCTGGCAGCCCACGAGCTGCTCCAGCCCCCCAGCCCGCTACGGAAAGAGAAACGGGGAGCAGCCGGCTCCCCCCGCACCACTGACCCCGAGGGTGTTCTGGGGTGCAGGGGCTGCCCCCTCCCCAGCGTCGGAGGGCACTGCTGGGTCCATGCAGGCAGCCAGGATCAAGGTCACGGTGCCAACTGGGGTTTCTGTGTCTCCCGCCCCTATCCTGACCGTGGGTCAGCCTGCGGACAGCCCATGCAGGCCCCTTCTCCCGCCACCCCCCATGGTCACCACGAGATGACCACCGTGGGCAGGGATCCCCAGCCTGCTACCACCATCACCTACTCCCCGTTACCCCCAAAAATCCCCTTCCGGCAGGAAAAAGCTGCTCCCAGCACGGCGACGGCTGTTGGCGAGGGGTGGGCAACA